AGGCTTTAAAATTTGAAATAGCCTAAATGTCCATTACAGAGAAATAGTTGAAAACTCTGAGTATGTTCACAACAAAATGTACTATATAGCAGCTAAGAAAATTGGGCTGTTTCTATATAGAATAAAATGTATATTTTGTGGTGTGGGAAAGGAGGGGCTTTCAGAATGACACATATATATAATAATAGTTATCTTAAAACATCCTTGCACAAGCATAAGGGCTTTTATGCTACATTTTGTATGGGTTCATAGATATTCTGGAAGACTTTGAAAGGTTGTGGAAAATACACATAGAAGCAATAATGATGCATTATCTGAGAGGTGGTAGACAGAACCAGGTTGGGGAAAATAAAAATATTCACAAGTTTTAATTCTATGTGCATTTCTATGAGAAATTTCTATAGATTACTTATGATTCATTTTTACTTTAATAAATGTAGAGATGGATTTTAAAACCACGGACAAACCCGTTTCTATGCAAAACACAATTGTTGGTGCTCTGCAGAATGCAAAATAAGCAAAATCTTATTAGGCATATGGGCACAGATTTTGCCTTCAGATAATTCTGAGGTCGGTGTGGGGGGAATAGGTCTAATATCACGTGAAATAAATTCCCAAAAGGGAATGAAACGTGTCTTGGGATTCAAGATGAGATGGTGGTGGTAATATTTTGGGAAACAGAGGAAAGGCAAAGCAAGGCATGGCTTACATATCTTCAGGTGTATAGGTGGGAACTCCTGGGGTAAGAAGAAAGGGGACACATTGTGTAAAGCCACAACACCTGAAGGCTGAAGGAGTTGGGCCCAGTCCTAGGTGGGGAGGAAAGAGCGAGAAGTCTGTGGAGTCAGTGTATGCCTGGAAGATTGCCTAAAACCTTACAGAGAAAAGAAAGTGCATATCCACTGGGAGGTACCAGGTCAGAAGTCAAGGGATCACTGGCGAGAAAAGATTCTGAGTCAGAGCTGATGGCAAGGATGGTGTTAATGGAGGTGGGAGATGAAGCTGAGAGCCTTGCTGGATTGGACTGGGAAATAAGAGGAAAGAGCAGAAACCAGGGGGATTCCAGGACTCGGTGATTTATGGGAAGTGTCTAGAGTCAGAAGAAAAAACACGTATAGAGACTATTCTCTGGGAGCTATAGGAGAGGCATCAAGGCCACCCAGAGAAGCTTGTCTTCTGCTTTCCCCCTCCATGCTGAGCTATGTTGTGCATAATATAGGCTAGGGCCCTAAGGACGAGCTGGGCAAGGGCGGGCAGGCAGACACATAGTCCTCCTGGCTTCCAGCCACCAGACTCACAGCCTTCCGGGAAGGGCTGACAGGGGCCGCTCTGTTCCTTTGAATCTGAGAATATGTAGCTGGGGAAGCCTAAATTAATTAAGTGATGTGAAAGCCCAGAGGCCTCCTAAGGAAGCATATGGAGGGGGTGGGGTAGCAAGGACAGAGGGAACTGCATCCCCTCCCCCAGTACTGGAATCCAAACAGCCGCAGGAGCTTCATTGGAATGAAGCCTGTGCTTAAGTGCTTCCAGGGAGACAAAGAAAGAATAAATCAGGAGAGGAGCCCCGCCCACACACCACCACTGCAACCACCAACCTGCTTCTGCCCAGAAACATAGTCATCTTGTTTTGTGGGACCAAATGCCTACAGAGAGCAACAAATGGCAAAGCCCTGGAATTGATGAGCTCCTAGAAGAAACATGATAGTATGGTAGTTTCTTCTGAAGCAGCACACCTCCACACAACTTCCACCAAGACATCACTTCACTTATTCCCCCCCACCCCCACCCTCCGCTAGACCACATGAAGGCACAGATGCAAGTGGTCTACCCTCTTGCCCCACTCAACTCCCATGTACAAGGACTCTTAGAGCCACACTAGGACAGCAGCCCAGCAAGAAAAGGACCTTATACTAAAAGGCTAAGGCCACACTTGAATCCAAAGCATCAAGCAAGAAGAAACATTCTCAGTCAGAAATAACCAGGTCATCAATTTCAAAATAATAATTAAGCCCCTACTGATTGTCAAATAATAAACTAGACACTTTCACATCAGTTGCCTCATCATCATCTTTACCATTCTGGACCAAGAAACCTGAGAGATGAATGCTGGAGGAGATATCTTCAATCTTTATTCTGTCTCATCTTTGATCACCAATACTGTATCCCTACCTACCCTCTAATCATGGAAAATGTTTCCCTACCTATGAAACAGCAACAAGAAGATTGATAAGATTAGGTGAATTGATGTTTGTAGACTTACTATAATTTCAGCACCTATATTCTAAAAATAACAATATCTTCATTAACTCATACAACTTACATTAAGTACTATTCTGTAGTAGCAGTCTCTGGATCTGGTTTAGAAACAGGGTGGAGGGAGGGGGTGGGATAGCGTCTCTCTTCTTTGACAGAATCGAGTAAGAAGTTCTCTTTTGCCACTATTATGCTCAGAGAACTCTCTAAAAATTCATTTGCAAGAGATCTAGTGAGGAGGAATCCAGAGACGCAGGAAGATGGAGTAGAGGAGCACTTTTAGGCTGGCTGGGAAGTAAAAGTGTCCAGTACCACAGCTAAGACAGCACCCGGGAGGCAGTACGTTGGACAGCGCGGGGGCCAAAGTACCTTGGACAGCTCCCAAAGACTAGAACTGGAAGAGCGCTGGTTCCACTTGAAACCAAGGCTCAGGTGCTAGCCTTTTGCTGAAGTCAAGATCATTAACTCAGTGCAACTTTGAGCCCTATTCTGGTGCCTGCTGATGGGTGAGGAGAGAAGAGGGGGGTTTGGACTAGAAATTGGAGAGTGGGAATACAGTGATCTTGGTGCCTCTTCAGTATATCAGCCCAAGACCCTCTGCCCTGGATCTTGATCTTTCTCTCTTCTATATTTCCAGGGTGTGGTTGCCTTGCAGTGGGAGAACAGAAGCAATTATGGAGCACGGGATACAGGAAGGGAGTGTGGGAACCCCAAGGAGTCCCACAGCCTAGGGGTCTAAGCCCTCCTGCTGGGATGCTGGGCAAGATCATAGATCAGGGCTTCTGGGAGCCTGAGCCATTTTCCAGCTTCCTCCTTAGCAACTCAGGGGAAAGAGCATCCTTACTACACTCAGACAGACTGTGTGAGGATTAAATAAAACATCACACTGAATACCTCAGAAACAGAAACCTGCTTTCTATACAAGTCTGTCAGAGTGGAGCCGAGAGCTGGAGAGTTATATAGGAGCCCAGAGAGCATTTTAATAGTCGTGAATTATATGGCCAGTGGGCTAGGAGAAGGGATTTGCACCTCAAAAGTTCTCGGTGTTTATCTTCAGTCACTAGACAGAAAACTTCTTGAACCCTTGCGGTCTCTTAAATCAGATAGGAAAATCACTCGATGCATAAACAACAATTTCTCTGTGGGCTTCAAGACTGCTGCCCTGTAAGGCCACAGAACGGGAGGTTAGAAGAGGCCAGAGGTCTCAGAGTCAATGACTGGAGTGCCAGACAGGTGACATGAGTATATCAGACAGCTGACGGGAGACACGATGAGCTGGAGAGTACGTGTACTGACTAAAGACCTCCAAGTAAAATTTAGAATAATCTTCTTGTCCCAGCAGAGTCCTTCTATAACAGCCATTTCTGCCCAAAGTCATGATAAATGTGCTCTCCTCTAAAGCCTTTCTCAACAGACCCCAGACTGGAGGGCTTAGCGAGGGCTAATGTTATCCACAGGCAGGCCTGTTCCCAAACTCAATTCTTTTCCCTTTTCAAGGGTGATTTGGTCCAGAGTGGGAACCAGCAGCTTTTTACATGAGGGAGTTTCTTCTTCTCCTTCCCTGCAGTGTCTAGGTGGGTGGGGAAATTGGGCAGTAGGTGACAGGGCATCTCCATCCCCCAGGCCTCCATCACCTCACCCCACAGCCATCTCAGGGATTGATGCCAACTTTTCCTTCGGGATCCCCACTAGCCAGGAGAGAACCTGGAGTCACATGACCACTTCATCAGCACAACCAGCCAGGAAGCCAGGTAACTTTTACCTGCTCTACACAGACCCACGACTAAAATGGAAACAAAATGTCAGCTTTTGCAGGTGATAAAGATAACAATAGCAAACACACATTGCTCTTACTATTGGTCACCCCCCCCCCCCAAGTTGCAAATATTATTATTACTGTGTCACAGGTGAAGAAAGGAAGGGACAAGGAGGAGGTGAACTTGCCCCTAAAAACCCTAACTGGCTGACAGGGCTGGGGGCCATCTCAGCCATCTGTCTCTAACGCCCATGCTCTTCACATAGTATCAACCTGTTTTGTCCAGAGTAGGGAGTGCAAAGGGGGGAAGAAGCTGTATCTGATGCTAATTGGCTTTAGAGGGCAGAAAGACAGGCAGAGTCCTCGCTGACTCTGGAAGACAGGGACCAATTATAAACTCAACAACGCAAGTCTCCCAACATCAGCTGCCTCTCAGTCTTTCTCAGGCCAGCACCTGGTCAGGACTCAAAGTGGCATCCAGGGTCAACGTTATTGAGAGGAAACATTAGGTCAAGCGCACATCCAAGGTCCACTTGTTTGTCCACTGAGACCGAGGTGGCTGCCAGCTGCCGCCTTTCGAGAAGGTGAGTCCTTGATGAGAGCCAAGCTGCAGGGTCTTGCTCTGCAAGTGGGCGCAGCACGGATGCAAGGACTTTACCGCTCCAAGAGATGGGCAACATTAGCTCCAGAGCCCGCTCGGCTTTTGGAGACAACTCTGGAAAAGGAGCACGGGTGGGCTTGGTCTGGACTCTGAGGAGTGGAGGGCCTGGGAGGGGCTTAAGTGGGGAGGGGGCGAGGCGGAGGGAAGGGAATAGAGGTGGAGCCGCGCGGCCGGGACGGTGAAAGCGGGAAGGGGGAGAACCCGCTGGAAAGGGTTGGCTAGATCGTGAGGGAGGGTAGGACGGGCGGGGCTCAAATTTGGGACCCTGAGTGGGGACAAGGCAACTTACCCCGGCAGTCCTAGACTAACAGTCGGGAAATCTGTGCGGTAAACTCCAGCAAAGGGCCGATCTGTGGGAACCCTGGCCAGCAGCCTCCCCTCCCTTCCCCCGGGTGGAAGGAGCCAGGGGCGGGGCCAGAGAAAGGGTTGTGGGGGGATCCGTCCCCAGCGCCCCTCCAGTCACCACCCCACCTTCCAGCTGCGAGAACAGATGGACGCAGCCAGGGCTCACCTCGGGGGCTCCTTGCCCGCTGCGCGCCGAGATCCGGGGTGAGATGGAGACCTGGAGACCTCCCCCGGCCCCCACTCCCCCGCACTCCCCTTTCTCGCCCGGGAAAGCAGCCTCTGAGCACCCCCTCTCCGAGGGGGAGAAAAGCGGGTGCGAACCTCGCAGGTCCTAAAATTGGGGGTTCCAGAGACCCCCGCGCTCCGCTGGCGGCCCACTCATCCCCCAGGGCTTGGGCAGGACTCTGGGCTCCGAGACCCCTTCCCGGGGGCTTCCAGCCCTGGTGCCATCTGGGGACCGGACCCCCGCCTGGCCGCGCCCCGCCCCCGGCCCCCGCCCGGCCGACGTCGCATTAGCATGAGCGACGCTAGTGGCCCGGGCACCACTCGGGGGCCGAGACTCGCCGCGTCACAGCCCCGAGTGGAAAGGGAAAAAAGAGGAGGCGGCGGCGGCGGCGGAGGCCAGAGCCGGCGCGCGGGGAGGGAGCGCGGGCGGGCGGCGGCAGCATGCCCCTCGGCGGGCGCGGGCGGCCTCTGCGCGCGGCGGGCACGGCTGCGGCTCGGACCCCGGCCCCGGGCCGCCCCTGAGCCCCCGCGCCCGCGGCTCTGGGGCTCGGCAGCGAAATCTCCGAGGCGCCGAGCCGGACGGGGTCCTTTGCGGTCCGCGGGGCGCGGGGCCATGAGCCCGGCCGCCACCTGACGCACGGGGGGCGCTGCCCGGCGCCGACCGCGCCCCCGAAGTTCCGCGCCCCGGTCTCGCCCAGCTGGGCACCCGCGTCCGGCCCCGGCGGAGGCGGCCTCGGGAGAGCGGTCGGGTGGGGGCCATGGAGCCGGCGGCGGCGTCCGCGGGCCAAGCCCGGGAGGCAGCCACGAAGCTGTCGGAGGCGGTGGGCGCGGCGCTGCAGGAGCCCCGGCGGCAGCGACGCCTGGTGCTGGTGATCGTGTGCGTGGCGCTCTTCCTGGACAACATGCTGTACATGGTCATCGTGCCCATCGTCCCCGAGTACATCGCTCACATGCGCGGGGGCAGCGAGAACCCCATCCTGACCACCGACGCGTGGGTGCCCACCCTGCCGCCGCCGACCGTGGCCAATGTCAGTGCGGACGCTCTCAACGCCTCCGAGTCCCCGCGCGCCGCGTGGCCGTCCGGCCCGGCGCTGCGGCCGCGCTACCCCACGGAGAGCGAGGACGTGAAGATCGGGGTGCTGTTCGCCTCCAAAGCCATCTTGCAACTGCTGGTGAACCCCCTGAGCGGGCCCTTCATCGACCGCATGAGCTACGACGTGCCGCTGCTCATCGGCCTGGGCGTCATGTTCGCCTCCACCGTGATGTTCGCCTTCGCCGAGGACTACGCCACGCTCTTCGCGGCGCGCAGCCTGCAGGGCCTGGGCTCGGCCTTCGCGGACACGTCTGGCATCGCCATGATCGCCGACAAGTACCCCGAGGAGCCGGAGCGCAGCCGCGCGCTGGGGGTGGCGCTGGCCTTCATCAGCTTCGGCAGCCTCGTGGCGCCGCCCTTCGGGGGCATCCTCTACGAGTTCGCGGGCAAGTGCGTGCCCTTCCTGGTGCTCGCCGCCGTGTCGCTGTTCGACGCGCTGCTGCTGCTGCTGGTGGCCAAGCCCTTCTCGGCCGCGGCGCGGGCGCGGGCCAACCTGCCGGTGGGCACGCCCATCCACCGCCTCATGCTGGACCCTTACATTGCAGTGGTGGCCGGCGCGCTCACCACCTGCAACATCCCCCTGGCCTTCCTCGAGCCCACGATCGCCACCTGGATGAAGCACACGATGGCGGCGTCCGAGTGGCAGATGGGCATGGTCTGGCTGCCGGCCTTCGTGCCGCACGTGCTCGGCGTCTACCTCACCGTGCGTCTGGCGGCGCGCTACCCGCACCTGCAGTGGCTGTACGGGGCCCTGGGGCTGGCGGTGATCGGCGCCAGCTCCTGCATGGTGCCTGCGTGCCACTCCTTCGCGCCGCTGGTGGTCTCGCTGTGCGGCCTCTGTTTCGGCATTGCGCTGGTGGATACCGCGCTGCTGCCCACGCTCGCCTTCCTCGTGGACGTGCGTCATGTCTCGGTCTACGGCAGCGTCTATGCTATTGCCGACATCTCCTACTCCGTGGCCTACGCGCTAGGGCCCATCGTGGCGGGCCACATCGTGCACTCGCTGGGCTTTGCGCAGCTCAGCCTCGGCATGGGGCTGGCCAACCTGCTCTACGCGCCCGTCTTGCTGCTACTGCGCAATGTGGGCCTCCTGACGCGCTCCCGCTCCGAGCGCGACGTGCTGCTTGACGAACCGCCGCAGGGTCTGTACGACGCCGTGCGCCTCCGGGAGCGCAACGTGCAGGGGTCCGACGGCGCGCCTCACAGCCCGCCAGGCCCCTTTGAGGAGTGCGAGGAGGACGACTACGACTACTACACCCGCAGCTAGCACTCCCGCGCCTCCTCCAGCCCCCCGCCCCCCGCCCCCACACTCTCGGGTCCAGGCGACTGCTCTGTGAGCGCACTGGCCGGCTCAGGCTCAGGGCCCACCCCCTCCAGCGAGTACCCCGGGCGCCTCCCCCGTCTTGACCTTCCCTGCCCCGCTCCCCTTTCTCTCCACGATCTTTGTCTCTTGTCGCTCTCTTTCTCCTCCAGTGGGGCGTGGAGCACCAAGGCGCTCAAGAGAGATGGGACTCGGTCCGGTTCAGAGATGAAGAGGCGCCTGCCGCCCCCCCTCGGGCTCCCTGATGTGAAGGTGTGCACCCCTCCCTGCTCCCGTCTGTCATTCCTTTCTTTCCTGCCACTGCCAACTCGGCCCGCAGCACCGCGGTGCCTTCCGTCCAAATCAATAAACCTTAACTCTCCGAGACCTCGTCTTTTTTTTACTAATGACGGTGGGGGGCTGGGCACACTGCTTGGGGGAAGTGCAGAGGGGAGAGTGGGCTGGATGGAGCCCCCATTCAGCAAGTGGGACCCCCTTAGCCCCGTTCTACCTGCGAAAGAAAATTAAAAAGGAGCAAACTGGATGCCCCGGTCCACCCCCTGTCTCCAAGCCTGCCACACTCCCCCTTTCTGGCAGCCTCAGAACAACGCCCCAGGGCGCCACCCGGGGGAGCCTGAGGTCCTGGTCCCTTTTGAGCTCTGGGTCACTGCCACCTCTGAACACGAAGGCGCCCGGGCTTGCGCTGGCTCTTGAGCCCCGCGTTCGGTGCCGGTGGACTAGGGAAAGGAATAGACGGAGGCTTCCCGGCAGGCCTGGCCCGCGGAACTGGAGCCGCTCGCTGCCTGTTGGCTGGAGACCCAGGCTCGGTCCCGGGAAGGGGCACTGCGGTCCCAGGGCCTGTGGTGTTCCGCAGTGGGTGGGCTCAGAGAGAGGTTTGAACCCGAGCAAGAGAAGTGGGAATGTGGGAGCAGCGGGAGACAATCTCCTGGCCTATGTGGGCTGCCAGGTAGTGCGTGGGAGGTGAGCCCGGGACCCCGCTTTGTGTGCCATTCTCTGCAGCTGCAGCCCTGAGACCCGTGGAGTCCTCAGAAACGATGAGAGGCTGCTGGGTTGGGGTACACTGCGGACCACCGGGTCCTCCTGCTACTGCAGGACTTGCGTGCCCCTAAGAGGTCTGTCTCGGTGGATCGGTGGATCTCTGCCTGGGCCCCGGGGGTCGGGAGACAGAGCTGGGCTTGGGGAACCAAACTCTACCTGCCTGCGGGGAGCGTTCCTAGTACCCCAGGATCACTATCCCTGCCCCGTGCTCCCCACCAAGAATGCCAGCATTGCTGGGGGAAGGAAGAGAAACGGAGGGAAGAGGTCCTACGGAGAGAAACAAATTGATCTAAATTAAATCGGGCTCACGATCGCTATTTATTATTATTATCATTCATATTATTATGGTTGTCCAGGGATTTAGTCTGGCTTAGACAGTGGGAGGGCGCAGACTCCCCCAGATCTCATCCTTCCCGGGGGTTCTCAGGTCGCGGCTGCGTGGAACAGCGGGGGTGGGGGGGGCTCGGGGGCTGAGGGCCACTGGGCTGGGGTCAGCGGGCACGCCGGGCTCCTCCAGTCCCCGCACGCTTCTCGGGGCGCGGGGTTCCGCTGTCCCGATTGTTCCGAGCTCCTGCCCACGCCGTCTGAGCCCGGCGCGGGGTCCGGCGGTGGGAAGCCAGCAGGCGCAGGGGGTGGGGGGCGGGGGTGACCGAGGACTCGGAGGGAGCGAGACAGGGGTGGGGCTGGGGGAGGGAGGGGAAGGAAGCAGGGGAGGGAGGAGAACAGGAGGAAGGAGAAAACAGGCGCGGCCGGCGCGGTCCCAGTCAGTCGGGAGGCCGCGGGGAGAAAGAGACGTCGGAGCCTCCGGCTGGGTCGGAGCTGCAGCCCCCGCGCGCGCCCCGCGGACGCGTCCCTCCCTGCCGCCGCCCCCACCCGGCGCCCCGCACTCGCGCGCCGGGTGCAGCTCGGGGCTGGGCTAGCCGCGGAGTCGAGGCAGCAGCACCCAAGAGCGCAGGTGAGAAGGGCTGGGTCGGCGGGGCGCGGGGCGCGGGGCGCGGGGCTCTGGCCGCTCCCGGGGGTGCCGCAGGGAGGCTGTGTCCCGGCCACTGCGCCACGAGATCCCCGGAGCAGAGGAATCTTCCCCAGCCCAGAACGGCGGCGGCCGTCGGGGATTGCCGGGAGCCCGCTGGTACCCGCGCGGCTCTAGGGTTCTAAGGGCTTCCGAGGCCGCCGGAGTGGGGCCGGGGCCAGGAGGGATGGACGAGGAGAGGAGAGAGGTGAGGGGCTTGGAGAGGCCACCGGGGCTCGGCGCTCCACGTGCGCGCCCTCCACTCTCCCCGACACCCGATTCCCTGAGTGCCGCGAGCATCTCGATAGCCACCCTGGTCCAACTTGGGTGGGGGTGGGGCGGCCGCGGGTGGCAGGCAAAAGCCGGTCCAGGGAGTCCCTGGGGCAAAGTGGGAAAGCGAGGGGTACCTGCGTCTGGTGAGCTGCGGTGGGGTGGCTCTTAAAGAAACCTGAATCCTTTACAGGTACACACACACACACACACACACACACACACACACACACACTCCAACAGCACAGGAGAAAGGGGAGCTGTCTGAGTGCAGACCTTCCTCTAAGTCCCCTGAAACCATCTCTCCAATGTCCTGTGCTTCTCCAGAATGTGGGTTCCCAGAGGCAAGTATCTTACCCCTCTGATGTTGGCTTGGGGCCAGAGCAAAACTGTTTCTTGGAACTTTCCCAGTCTGTTATTGCCCTCTCTGCCCCCTCAAACCTGCCCAGCACTGGGATGGACCCGCCCCTCGACACCACTGCTTTGGGGTTTGCAGGAGGGAAGGGCTCAGGTTCCTGGTCCCCAATGCCCTGCCAGATGCCTACAAGCATCTCTCCATCCTCTGCGGCCAGGCAGCTCCAGGCTTCTTCTCGCTGGTTCTTGGCTCAGCTGTCCAGGACCGCCCAAGTCCTACCCTGTGAAGCAGGTGTCAGAGTCCTTTTTGCCCAGACACCACCTGGGTGCTGCCTCCAGGGATGCCTGTCCCATGGGGCCACAGAAAGAACAACAGTTTGAGGCTCTGGGTGAGAAGAGAAAAAACAGAAGTCATAGGGTGTGTCCTGCAAGTGTGTGCTAAGCAAGACCTCAGGTTACAAACTGTGCCCTACTAGCTTAACCTCTTGGTCTTTGACCTTATTGGCTGGGCTCATGTCTACTGCACCTTCATCATGAATTCATCTCTCTGCCCTGGGCTAAGTCCAGATGGCTGCAGAAGACCAGGCTGCCTACATCCCCGGGGCACCTTTTTCCTGCCACCCACACTCAGAGCTGCAGCCTAGACATTGCCTGAGTTCCAGCCCATGAAACAAGTCCCTTCACAGCTGGAGTGATAGCACAGAGGGTAGGGCATTTGCTTGTACTGGCCGAGCCAGGTTCAATCCCTGGCATCCCATATGGTCCCCTAAGCACCTCCAGGAGTATTTCCTGAGTGCAGAGCCAGGAGTAAACTCTGAGCATCGCCGTCATTACCCAAAAAGAAAAAGAATAAAGAAGGTCCCAGCATCCTGCCTGCCTGGACCACAAACTCCACTCCCCGTCTGGCCCAAGTGTCTTTTGGAGCCCTGCACCTTCCAGGGCCTTCTATTCATTCAGTTCATGTTTGTGCAAGCACACATGCACCCCATTACTGAGCTACTCAACACTGCAGCTACTCCACACCCGGCACCAGCCTAGCTTCCAGAGATGGAGCCCTGAGCACTGCAGGTATGGTCTTGGTCCAGAGAAGCTCGCGGTCTGGTGGGAAGGACACATCTCCATTAGCAAGGAGATGTCTAAGGTCAAGATAGGAACAGAACAAGAGCTCTGTCAGTGACGCTGCGTGAATTTGAAATGGGCAGAATTTGAAATGGGCAGTGTGGAGTCAGGAGCTTGGAGGCCCTGGCCTCTCCCAGGGAGAGGGCAGGAACTGGGCTATGTGGGGTGCAGTGGCCACCACTGGTCTCTACAGCTTTGTGTGATGCTTCTCCACTTCTTGGTCCTCAGGTCTACACCTCTGCTTCCCTGACCAGGAGTCACCAAGATGCCTATCCTGGAGAAAACCCCCCAAAATATGGCAGCAAAAGCTGCCAGTACTGAGGAGGAGGCGGTGAGTGCCCTTGGGGACCCACTTTCTCATGCTGCTCTCTGTGTACCTGGCTTCCAGAACAGTGTACTTGACCCCACTGCTCTCCTGCTTGCCCAGATGTGAGCCCAGTGGAGTGCTTGGAGGCCCCAGTGGAGACTGAGCTCCCCCCTGTAGCTTTTCACCTCCCAGTCCCAGCATTGCTCAGCTTCAGCTCTGAATCCTGAGGCACCATCTTCCTCACCAGCTTGCAGTCTTCTCCCTCCCCTCCCCTGCCTTGGGGCAGGCATCTCCCTTGCCTTCAGAGTGACAGTGACACACACATCCCTCTCTCCAGGTTGTGTCCATGTCCGTGTCAGCCCCCTTCTGGGGCAGCCTTCCACCCATTCACTCCCCATCAGCCACCCCCAGGCCGGCATTTAAAAACCAGAGCACACCTGCACTGTCCGGCTTCCCCAGACCAATCTCTATAGCTGACAGACACCCACTGGTCTGGGACTTCTTTGAGAGCAGGTCCTGTCCCAAGACCTACTCCACCTACTCTCCAAGGAACATGGACTCACCCGAGAGCCCAGGGTCTGAAGACCCTCGTTAGTACAAGTCCTTTGTCCCTGGTCTTACAGAATCAGAGGCTCATCAGAGACGAGACTGAGACTTTGGGATGAAAGTTTTCTGCCTCTTTCCCATATTCCCACCAGCTCATTCATCTCAACATCCCTGCTGCCCCCAGCTCTGCTAGAGTTCCACAGGGCAGTGGGTTATTTCCATGTAAGGCAAATACCCTACAAGCTATACTATCACTCCAACCCCTCTGCTGGACTTTCTGTTGGTGCTTGCACACTTATCCAGCCTATGGACCCTTAAGCTCTAGAACAAGTAAGAAAAAAATCAGAAGGGCTGATTGGGGACCTGTGTCTGTCGCTCCAGAAATGGGCTAAGTCACCTGGGATTCTCCCCAACCCCATCTTAACATATTCCTCAGGGCATGACCCCCTGGGACAGTGAACTCAGACAGTACAGGACTCCTGGCCACTCAAGCATATGTTACCTGGGTCCGCCCATGGCTATCCACCTCAACTCTATTGGGTGGGGAGCAGAGGCAAGCTTTCTCTGTCCCCTTTACTTGGCAGCAGTTTTCCAGTCTGCCGGGGTAAAAAGTCACGCCCTGCCCCATGACCCTGCAGAGCAAAAACTCCTGAAGGAAGGCAGCTCCTCTTCACCTCCAAACTTTAAAAAAATATTTTTATCAGTGAAACACCATGAGGTACAGTTGTTGACTTACAAATTTTTGTGCTTGAGTTTCAATTATGCAATGATAAAATACCCATCCCTCCACCAGTGCCCATTTTCCACCACCACGGATCCCAGTATCCCTCCCACCCCCCATCCCCCCCAATCCCCCTGCCTCTGTGGCAGGGCATTCCCTTTTGTTCTCTCTCTCCTTTTGGTGCTGTGGTTTGCAAAAGAGGCATTGAGTGGCAATCATGCTTGGTCTATAGTCTACTTTCAGCATGCATCTCCCATCCTGGGAGGATCCTCCCAACACCACAAGTTCACCTCCAAACTTTAAGCAGTACCGTGACACAGCCCTGGTTTCTCAGCATGACCAGAAGTGAAGAAAATAGAAATGAGAGAAGGTGGGGAAATGGGCAGGGAAGAAGAGACACACCAAGGAGGAAGGGACAGAACTCATGCCAAGTGAAGTCTCAGTTCCTTCCCCAACTCTGCCACCCAGGAACAGACGACCTTGGCTTGGTGTTAGTCTCTGGGCAGTATTTTCTTTGTGTGTAGGGGGACACACATGGCAGTGCCCAGGCCTTAGTCCTGGCTCTGCGCTCAGGGATCACTCCTGGTGGGGTTCAGGGGACCATATGGAGTGCTGGGGATTGAATCTATATCTTCCCAGTATAAGGCAGCCACTCGACCTGCTTTTCACTGTACTGTCACACTCCCCTCATGGAGTCAGGATTAAAAGTCGTGTCGAGAACCCAACAGAGTATCCTTGAACATACCTGGGATGGACATGGAAATTCATCTGTTATCACTGGGAAGTGGGGTGTGGGGGGGTCACAGATACAAATGGACCTGGGTGGGGTTCTGAACAAGCCCTCTCCATTCTCTGGGGACCCCTCTGAAGGGCTGAGGATGGTAACCCCAACATATTTGGCAGCACCTCTGGAGATAGTGTTTCTCTCGTTAAGTTTCCTTGCCCCACAGGGAGGAATTGCTTTGATCGTCCTGGGGATGAGGAGACTGAGACTTGGGATGATGAAGAGAACTTATTACTCTGTACTTACCCACTCCCCCCCGCCCCCCCTCCCCGCCCAAAGGAAGCAGCTGATTCCTCCCCAGGTTTCAAAACCAGGAGGGATTTCAACAAATGGCCCAAGCTGTGAGTCACCTTCCGAGGAAGCATCTCACAGAAGTATGGTTCATTAGAACAAGCAATGAAGTATGCTTGCCACCCCAAACCATCTTTCCACTGGCCAGTCTTCTCCAGTCATGTCACCCTCTCTGAACTCTGAGATCTATTGGATTCTAGAGACCCAGCTGAAATCCATTTCCAAATTAAGAACGACCAGCAGCCAACAATATCAATAACAGAGCAAAATTCATCTTTGACCCATTGTCTATGATCTAGTAGCCTTATTACATCCAGGATACCTTGACTTTTATGACAGGTACCCATTTTAAGGAAGGCAAAAAAGTTCTGTCCTGACGGGGTAGTCCCGTCAAGGTCACTCAAGGGTAGCTTTAGGTCAGGACATAAACTCAGTTTTCTCCAGTGCCAACAACAAGGGCCTTTCCTTCTTGGAGTAGAGCTGGTGAAGAGAAGAAAGAAAATAGAAGCTTCCTGAGTTCATAATTCTTCTGGGTTCTGGGATAGGTGAGGCTTAGGGGCAGGCCAAGGATGGAGCAGACCCTGGAGATCAGCTGGGCATGGTCCCAGACAAGGACTACCCCGTCAGGACAGAACCAACAAGTGCCTGCATCTCCTCTCCTCCAGGGGCTGCCCAAACTCCCCGTGCCCCCGCTGCAACAAACCTTGGCCACTTACCTGAGATGCATGAAGCACCTCGTCCCTGAGGAGCAGTTCAGGAAGAGCCAGGTCATTGTGCAGCGGTTCGGGGCTCCCGGTGGCCTCGGGGAGACCCTGCAGCAGAAGCTCCTGGAACGGCAAGAGAAAACGGCCAACTGGGTAAGCATTGCATGGGAAGAAGATGGACAGAGCACCAGAGGGATTGTGGTGGCAGCTGGAGGCAACCTGAGAAACACAGGGGGATCTGAGTGAGGGGTGCAGGAGGGGACTGAACCAGAGACAGGAGAGAGGAGCAAGGGTGTGGTAGAGGATCTGTAGAATGGGAGCTGGGGGACAGATGGGGGTGATGGTGAGAGAGGCAGAGAGGGTAGGGGAACAGAGGAGGATGAGGACGAGTAGGGACAGGTGGGGATAAGCGGTAAGGTTGGGGAAGCACGAAGGCAGAAACAGCATTTCTGAGGATGGGCGGGAGCAAGGTTGAAGCAGCTCAAGGCTAGGATGGGCAAGTGGGATGGAGGAAAGAAGATCATGTGTGCGGGGCAGAGAGGGAGGGGCTGGGGTTCACTCGCATGACTGAAAGAAGTGCCTGATTCATTGACTGTCCCGTTAGTCCCTTGAGCTGCCAGGAGGGGTGGGGGCTTTCTGCTGCCATAATGTCCTTGTTTGGAGAGGTGTGCATGGGTGGGGTGGCTTTGGGGGTGGGGGGTAACGATCCCATGCCCCTGGCCTCTCTTTTAGGTGTCTGAATACTGGCTGAATGACATGTACCTCAACAACCGCCTGGCCCTGCCTGTTAACTCCAGCCCAGCTGTCATCTTCGCCCAACAGCATTTCCAGGACACCAATGACCAGCTAAGGTAGGGCCACTGGGTGCCTGAGCTACATCCCGGGAGAACCCCTGGGGGAAGGGACAGCTGCCTTCACATCCCCCCTCGCCCCCCAGTCTGCCAAGAAGGAAAATCCAAGATCATGCCAAGACTGAGATTTTAAGGGCCAAATATTCAGACCTGGGGGACCCAGGCCCTGGGCAGGAAAGGAAGGGAGCAGGGCCTGGGTCTTCCTTACAGCACGTGTGTGTATTTGGTGTGAGGTCCTGGAGGATGGTGTGTGTGTGTGAGAGGTATGTGGTATACACCTCTGATCTGCCCAGTTACTGTCCCGGGTTACCTCTGCTGCTCCGCACCACCGCCCCCCCCCCCCCGCCCCCAGCTCTGAGCAGAGGCTCCCTCGGGAGGAGGCAGAAATGGTTCCTCCCCAGCAGCAGTCACAGCCGCCAGAGCTCCTGCCATCTGCTGCAATTTCAGAGCTCAGTGAGCCGCTGGAAGGGCCTCTGGGCCCACATGTGACAGTGGAGGGTCGTTTAGGCAGGGGGAGGGGGCCCCTGATTCAGGGGGACTGCTTATAGCAGGGGTGGGAGAGGGTCTTTCTGCCGGAGTTTTCGAGCCAGAGCAGTCTCTGGTCTCAAGACCTGAATGGGGGCCCAAGCAATAGTACAAGGGGCCCCGCGCTTGCCTTGCATGTGGCCCACCTTGGTTCGATCCCCGGCATTTCATCCCTGAGCCCTGACTGAAGTGATCCCTGAGCACTGATGGGTAGGGCCATCCCCAACACTTGCCCCCCCCCAACAAAATAAAAGACCCGAATTGGGGATCATGCAGGGACAGTTGAGGAAGGGAGGATAAAAGAGGCAGGGCAGCACCGACCAAATAGGCAGGACCCAGAGATGCCAGGAAGACCCCCCCTCACCTCTCCTTCTTTCCCAAGACACCCTGCTGGCCTACTAGCCTGCAGTTCCCCCTTCCCCAGCAGCTGGACCTCCCCTGGCAGAAGAAGGTGGGGTGCTGGTGGAGGAGTGACTTCCTAAGATCTTAAAATCCCATGGGACGGGGCACTTCCGCCTGAGACACTTAGGCCAGGACTCAGGATAGTTCCATAATCTGGTCCCCAGGTACAGATCTCTGGGGTCTCCCCCCTACCCCACCCTGCCCCACCACTTCCCTTTTCACTAGTGCTAAAGGGCCTTAGGACTGACTCTCTCAGGAGATTGGGTTTCCCAGCAGCGCCAGGGACCTGGGCCAGTCCAGCCTCAACCTTTTCTAGAAGCAACCTACTCCTGACCACCCAGTCCCTCTTCCTGCCCTTGTCCTCAGACCATTTTCAATGTCTTCTCCCCCCCGCAGTCCCCCTGTTTCCAAGGTATCTTTATTCCCAGACTTGGGAAGGACTGACAGCATGGGAAGGGGAGGGGGTAGCAGGACCCTGTGATTGCCGCATCTCTGGGGCTTGGCTTCCTTAGATGATTCCTGAGCTTGGCAGGCTGTAGGGGAGAGAGATTGGGGGGAGGGGGTAAGAGGAAGAGATGGGGGGTGGTGAGGGAGAAGAAGTTAAAAGGGTTGGGGGAGCCCCAGAGAGGGAACATTAAGAACTTGTCTCTCTGCAGGTTTGCAGCCAACCTCATCTCTGGTGTGCTCAGCTACAAGGCCCTGCTGGACAGGTAAGGACTGGGCACAGCCTAGGCACCCTGTTCTGCCATGGCCGCCTTTCCTGCCTCCCAGGTGAGGAACCCCTGCAGCTCAGGGACCTGGTCTTTTTTTTTTCTAGCTTTGTGTTCCTGGCCCCTGGCACTGAGCAAGTTAACCCCCCCATCCCCCCTGGCTTCCCCAGCATCAGGGTGACCTTTACCTCAGCTGGCTGGAACCTCAGCAGTCTCTTTCCCTCGCTAGATCTATCAACAGTCCCCCACCCCTCATGGCTTGGCCTGAGCTTTCCCAGCAGCACTGAGGCCGATGAGCTCGGCGACATAGCCAAGTGCTTGAGCATTGCCACCAAGGGCACATAATTCCCAGTCATTGCGACCAAGCGGGAGAGATCTCTCTCTGGTCATTGTGACCAAGAGTGGGTGATCCTGGGTTGCAAAATAGCAACAAAAAGGAAAGAGATGGGGGGTGGGGTGGCCAGAAATAAATAAATGTTACCAAGGTCAAATTTAAAGAGAAACGTCCAGGATGGGCAGACAGCTCAAAGGGCTGAAGCACTTGATCTCATGTGGGACTCCCAGGTTTGATCCCCGGCACCACCAGGCTGGTGTGGTGTCCCCTAGCACTGCTAGCCCCAGCATCTAACCCTCAGAGGGCACAGCCGGGCCAAGTACTGCTGGGAGTGGCCCTGGTCTGTGCAACCAACTGGTCCTTCCTGAGCCTCACTGAGCCCTCCACACAAAAATCTTTTAAAGGAAATGCCCGTGTGCGCAATGCCACGAATGAACATGTCAGAAATCTTGAGGACACAGGAGGGGAAGAAGAGCAGGGATGGTCCAGCTTGCCCTTTGCTTCTGAGGCGCGCAGTGTCCCTACTCTGAGCGTGACCCCCCAGCCTACCAACCCCAGGAATGGGTGCCCTGGCTCAGTGGACACAGCAGCCCTGGCAGATGAGGAGGGATGCATGCGCACAGCAGGTGACTGACTCTCCTCAGGCAAGGACAGACCCTCTTGAAGCTGAGTGTCAGGTGCCTAGAATGGCCCAGGTCCCCAAAGGGAGGAAATAGAAGAGCATCAGACACTGGGAAAGAGAAGCTCCAAGCAGCATCTGTTGCAGAGAAGACACAGCTAAAGGCTCAGAGAGGTGAAGAGACTAGTCCCAAGTCACACAGCCAGCGGGTGGCAGATAGAGGAGGGCACAAGGTGGTATGAGGATGTGAAGTGGGTGCTGTCTTCCTTATCAGTATATCCCAGCCCTTAGAGCAGAAGTTCTTCCCTGCTGCCCTCCGCCCCTGCCCCCCCCCCCACCAGAGGACAGGGACTTTAGACCCAAAGGGCAGAACAGCTCAGAGTAGAGCCTGGATGTAGGCCTGCAACCACAGCAGGAAGCATGAGTGTGAGTGAAAGTGACCGCTGTGACCTGGACTCACAGCTGTCGGAGGATGAGTAGCAACTGCTACTCTCACTGCCCTGGGAGATGATGCCTGGGGTCTCAGGCCCCAGCGTGGCATGCTGCAACCTTCATGCCTCTCCTTTCTTTCTCATCCCCCCACCACCATCCCGGGGGGCTGTAGGGACTCATGGAACCCAGGATCAGCGCAGGCCCTCTGTGCTACCTTCCCCGTGCCACTCCCATGGAGCCCCCACCCCCCACCCCCCAGGCCTCTGCTCCCTCCTGCTCTTCCTACCTGCCCTCCCACTGCTTTGCCCAACAGTGATTCCAAATCCTTAGCATCAGCCTTCTAAGGGCCAGTCGCGAGGAGGAGGGACATGGACTGGTAACCTTGTGGCCTTCAACCACTGCCAGCCTGGACCCCAGACTCAAATGTGTATCGGCATAGACACACCTGCTGCCTATATGTGGTGTCCACATGAAGGTCACCATGACCAATGATTTTATTTCATTTTATTTGGGGAGGATGGGCCTTCTAGGCAGTGCTGAGGGGCCTCATCAGTGATTCTCAGCCAGTAAAACCCATGGGTCAGGTGAATGAGACCAGTTGTAGTTACTGGCATATCGAATACACAATAGATAGCTTGCCAGGCTCTTCCGTGCGGGCGGAATACTCTCGGCAGCTTGCCAGTCTTTCCGAGAGGGATAGAGGCTTTTGGGGCGACCTCTAATCGCCCTCGTAGGTGTTACCATATTTGAACCCTATCAAATATGGTATGACAATTCCGGAAAATGGGTATTTAGTGTTTTATGATGTGTCGTACGGCCGCTTCGTGGCCGCGCGGGTCTGGAAAGCGTCCTAGAGTGTGGTGGTGGCTGGATAGTGGAGGTAGTGTCGGTAGTGTCTGCCAGTGGGGTATTTATCTGGTCCCGATAGGGGTAGGGTGGGTCTTCTGTGCGCAATCCGATCCCTGGGTGGTTGGTGGAAGCAGACAGGGCATGGTAGGGTGGGGCTCCTGATTAGAATCCCTTTGTCACCTGTGGTTGGTGGAAGCAAGCAGAGGATCTCTGTCCCTTGGTCCGCCGAGCCTGGAGTCCAAGCTCTCAGAGAGTTCCGCTTATCTTGTTCTGTGGGTCTTCAGTCGATCTTCATCAAGATCATGAACGATCGGTTTGAGGCTCTTCATGTTCCCAGAGCGAACAGATGCCATTGGGCTACACTAACACGCAACAGGGACAAATGGAGACTTACTGGCGCCCGCTTGAGCAAATCGACGACTAACGGGAAGTTAAGTGATTAAGTGATTACGTGAAAACCCATGGAAGGAAGAACGGAAGGAAGGAAGGAAGGAAGGAAGGAAGGAAGGAAGGAGCAGAAGTGGGAAAGGAATAAGGAGGGAGGAAAAGATGGAGGTTAAAAGGTAGAAGGAAGGAAAAAGAAATGAGGAGGAGTTGGAGGAGGAATATGAAGAGGGAAGAAAAAAGTACACAAGTATAGTACGTACTGCTAGAGAAAGTGGGGAGTGGAGTTTAGTGGCCATCCCAATGCAGTTCTGGTTCTTGTGGCCCATTTAGTCAGTAGAACTGATGCTGTCTTCCAATCTGATTCTCCCCTCTCTCTCCAGCCACTCCATCCCCACCGACTGCGCCAAGGGCCAGCTGTCAGGGCAGCCCCTCTGTATGAAGCAGTACTATGGGCTCTTCTCCTCCTACCGGCTCCCCGGTCACACCCAGGACACCCTGGTGGCCCAGAAGAGCAGCGTCATGCCTGAGCCAGAGCACGTCATTGTGGCCTGTTGCAATCAGGTGAGCAGCCTCTTGCCACAGAGTCCTAAAGAGAGGGTGCTCGAGCAGGGTGCTCGAGCAGGGCACCCCTGACTGTTCCGTGCTCTCTCATTTCTCCCTATTGGTGGGTGAGGAGATGCCTTCCTTGAGGATGGCTTCATGGGGCTCCCATTTCAGCCATGACTGGTAAGATTAGGTTGAAAGATTATGGGTCTCGGGATTGCTCATGACACGCAGCATGGCTTCTGTCCCTCCACCTACAGTTACCCAGCTCTCATCCCCAAGATCATACACACACACACACACACACACACACACACACACACACACACACACTTTTGCTAACTGGCTGTCAGGTCCTACAGCACCTGCATGCAGGGGAGTCTTGCTATCTGTTCAGCAGAAGAGAGAGTGAGATTTGGACAAGTTCAGGGACTTGCCTGAGGGTGAGAAGGACCCCAAGTTGTGGTCAAGACCACAAGCCCTCTCTCCTGTTCCTATAGCTCATGTCTTCAGATTGAGTTGGGTTCCAAGAAACCAACAACGGCCCACAGGCAGAGGGGTTCTGGAGACAGGTTGAGTGTGTAGGCTCCTGACTGTCACAGGTACCCACCAAACTGTATTTCTCCATACGGAGACTCCACTCAGTACTGCAATTGACAAAAAGCTGCTTTATATTGATTTTTGCTAAATTCCAAAGGCTCCATGGAATTTGTTCTACAGTGTTCTCTTCTTGGGCCCATCCTATATATTCTGCCTAAGTCACTAGCTCGGGGAAAAGCTATCATCTAAGAGTGGCTGTCCCTGGATTGAACGCCCAGCGGACATCTGACCTGAAACCCCAAGACGTTTGTGTTTGATGCACAATTATAAGAACCTTCTTCCATATTCACTGAGAAGTCAACACTTTTCAGGCCCCCCAAAACCCGAGCATCCCTCCCTGGCACAAACTCTCAGGACTTCTCTGCACCAACCACACAGGCATTTCTCAAGGGATGGAACAGAGTACTCATGTCCGTGGAATGAAAATTATGTTGAACCAGGGCCTAAACTTAAGACCCTTTACAAAGCCCCCAACTTGACCTTTGAAGCTATTCCATACCACTTCCCAGTTACTCGCAGATCACACAGACACAGAAGGTCTAGGCTCACCTCTGAAGAGCATTCTGCATGTTTTTTCCCGTTTCAGTCTTCCTCCACATTTTGTTTTCTGATTTCCCACATTTTAATTGCTCCACTCACCAAGGTATATGACATCTCTCTGTAGCAGTATCCAGAGCTAGTTAATTCTTTTCACTGCTGGGCAGGCACATACTGGACAAATACACTGCTGTTTTAATTGGCTAGCCCCCTACTGGAGAACACTGAGGCTTGTTCTAACTTTTTGCTGCAGCAAATAAGGCAGATATGATATTCCTATTCCTTATTCATCTTATAGACAACGGTATCTGTTTCTCTAAGCCTTAGGCTATTGTATGCCTTTATATGGATTTTTCATTTTGCGAGTGCCTTTCAATAGCACTGTGCCAGTTTATACTCAGTTCCTCACACATGGTTTTACACTCACCAGGCACCACAAAACCAAGTTGTCTTTGAGCTGGATTCAATCTGTCTTTCTTTGCTTTGGGGCAACTCGGAGTCCAGCACAGTCAACAGTGTTGGATTGGAGCATGGTAACGGCTGCTCCGTCTGTGGCACTTCCCTGGTGTAACCCTGCCAGAGCAAACCGCAGTCTTGAATCACTGCCCAACCTCCTCGCTTGTGGACTATGAGCACTGAAGGGGACTGTACAGATGAAACAAAAATAAAGCAAAATACAACAAACAAAACCTTGTTGGGTTCACCCCCAGATTGTCAAATGCAGACTCAAAGTTTGGGAATGTTGGGACGGTGGGCCTAAGCACCCCAACCCTGAGCTCAAGTGCCCTGAGCTCAGTGAAGGCCCAGTCTCGGGCCAGCTGCTGTGAGTGATGTGTTTGACCTGTTTCCCCCACAGTTCTTTGTCTTGGATGTTGTCATTAATTTCCGCCGTCTCAGTGAGGGGGATCTGTTCACTCAGTTGAGAAAGATAGTCAAAATGGCTTCCAACGAGGATGAACGCTTGCCTCCAATCGGCCTGCTGACGTCCGACGGGAGGAGCGAGTGGGCTGAGGCCAGGACGGTCCTCGTGAAAGGTTAGCCGCAGTGCCCAGTGCGTCTCCATGCTCATCTCATCCTCATGCCCATTGGCTTTCTCTCCTGCAGGCTGGGGCACCATGGCCTCATCCTCATTGGCCATAGCATGGGGAGCTCAGGCCTCCCTCCAATTGGCATGGAAGCCTGGGGGAGAGCAACGTTTGAGCAAGAGGGAGGCTGGGCGCAATGAGGCTGGTGTGTCTGCCTGGTGGGCAGGGTTGGTATTCACTGGGAGGGGTCTGAGTTGCTGGGAGAGCTTTCAGATGCGGAGTTGGGATAGAGCCCACCTCGGAGGGTGGTTGTTACTTCCTTTGTGTGACTTTTCAAACCCTTTTTATCTTCAAGTTCAACCCTCTGGCTGGCTGCTGATCTTATGAAGTTTCCAAGCAATCCCAATAACAATCTGAAATGTTTTAAATAATTCTTTGGAGACTGCTTTTCAAATCCAAAGCCAGCCTGAGTCTGGCTGAACTGGAGACTGGAGGAACAGGCTTCCTTGCTTGCGTGTATTTGAGATTCTGGGCTGAGGGGCTAGACTTCTGTGAGCTTTCTCTGACCTGATCCAGCAACTTTCATTCTGCCAAAGAATGAAACTCCTTTTAAAATCCTTGAGTGTCTGCAAGCTGGTGACCTGGTGCAAGGCCTGGAGAGTGGCAGAGAGAGGAGAAAGCTCTGCCCCTGATCAGCCCAGAGGAAAGAACAGCCCCCAAGAGATGAGCGTTCATGGGGAGGACCATCCATGCACAGTCCTGCGAGGTTGGCCTTGGCAGGGATAGAGAAGCAGGTGCCACCCAAGTGTTTCATGCCTTCAGGGAGGCGAGGGAACTGTGCCTGGGAGGAGGCTTTCAAGGCCTTTGCAGAAAAGGATGTGAATTGAGCACAAAGCCCTGTGACATGAGTGAGAGGGCTAGGAGGGAGGCGGACCTATTTTCTGTGCTTGTCCTAGTGGAGAGCAGCTTGGCCAGTGCCAGTGGAAGGATGACCGCTGGCCGGAAGAACGGGAAGGTGGTTTCTCTCCCAAGGGAGTTCTACCCCCAGAGCTGGCTGCGTCCCAGCCTGGTCCAGGACTCAGGTGTCTGCCCCTCTCGCACTCCGCTAACATCTTCCTTCCCACCAGCACTTTCAGTTACCTGGTCCTGTCTTCTCACCTCAGTTGCCTTTCTCACTCTCTGAACTCTTCATGTGTTCTGTTCCTGTGAACGATCTGCCTCTCCTTCTCCCACTCCTTCAGCTCGGGCAGAAAAGAGTCTGATCTTTGGTCTAGCTTCTAACTCTGATGGGCCCAACAAATCATAGTTGTTGAATAAAAGAGCAAAGGATTCCCAAGAATGAAGGGTTCTCAATAATTCGCTGGTATTTCTTGCTTACCAGTGAATTCTTTCATTCCGTTATTGGGCACCTAGAGAATACTTGCTTACTAAGTCAGGAACTGCATTGGCCATTGAGAGGTGTGAGTGCTGGCCCTGTTTGCACAGACTTAGCAGCCCTGTGCGGGCATTAAGAACTTATCCTTTGAAAGGGAGTTAATTCCCTGAGGAGACCGTGGTGTAATCAGATCCCACTCTACTTGCCTCCAGGGACAGAGGCAGGCATCAAAATAATCGCCTCTGCTTCCAGTGTGGTTTCCACTTTATTAGCTGGCCAGGCCCAAACCACCTCCCTGCAGGACTGGCCGGGGTTGCCTTAGGTCTAAGTGGCTGGGCTGCGCAAATTGGAATTAATTTGTTAATGGCACTTGATCTGGCTTTCGGAGTGGAAGTACTGTTTCTGAGGAAAGTGTGATAGAAAGGAGGGGGCTTAGGAGACTTCCCTTTGGAGAGCTGATTAATCCAGTTAGCACTGACCATGTCGTCTGCATGGCAGGAAACCAATCCTTTACAAGGCAGTCCTATCTGGAGCAGCACCTTGCCACCAAAGGGAAACCACTTAGGAAACATTTTCAATGTAAACGTGAAATATTATATTTCTCTAGGCTAGGGTTGAGAGTGAAGATGGAAAGACGTGGGCAGGATCTAGTCTTATTTCAAAACAAAAGAAACAGGAAGAATACAAAAATGTGAGAATGATTCCTAAGTTTTTTTTACTTGAGCAATTGAGTACAATTCACTGGAATTCAGGACCCCAGCTGAGGAAGTGGCTGTAGAATGGAGAACTCCTTTCGAAGGATGTTACATTTGAGATGCCCTGATTCATCTAAGTGGAGATGTCAAATTAGATCTATGTGTCTAGAACTCAAGAGAGAGGCCAGTACAAAGATATAAATCTGAGAGCTATCAGCACATAAGTGATATTTAAAGTCAGGGACCTGGATGAGATCATCTAGCAACAGAAGAACAGGTCCTTGGAGGTCAAATCGAGCAAGACGTAAAAAGATTCAGAAGGGACAGCTCTTGAAGCCAAGGGAAAAAAAATAGGAGATGAGTCACAAAAATCCAAGAGAGAAGGGGGGAAGTGACCAGCCGCATGGAAATGCTGCTGAGAGTTTTAGCATGAACAGGGCAAAGAGACTCTGGGCTTGGCAACCTTAAGACCTGGGTGACCTTCACGAAGGTTGGGATGGAGAAGCAAGCAGAATGGATAGCTGTATGCTGGTAGAAGTGACTCAACAGAAGAATGAAATTGTTGATAAGATGATCAATGAGCAGAATCAGTACATGTGAGTCGCTCTTGAGACATTTTAGTATTAAATGGAACAGTGCAATGGGGGAATTTCTGGAAGAGGTTGGAAGTCAAGACAAGTGTTTTTTACTAGGAGAAGCAAGTGTATAATTGTGTGTAGATCGATGCATGACAGTAACTCCACTGAACAAAATTCTTAATGAGGAGAAAAGAGAGCAGAGGAATTGGGGTTCTTGCTAATGCAAAGAAAGGTAACCTAGACAATAAGAGGCCTATGGTGGGGTACAGAGCAAACATGGGCTGAGGTCCATGGAGCTCATGCTGTGGTCGCACGAGTATAAAGTGCCATGCTGCTTCTGGACTAAGATCCACAGAACAGCACCATGAGCAGAGGGAGATGAGATACTAAGACAATAGAGAATGTGTGATATAGCCCCTTAGAAAGTGAGAAAGAGCACTTGGGAAACATGATAAGACTTATAGGTTGTACTGAGCTCACATGAGGGTTTGGGACCATACATTTTAGGTCATATCGAAGTTCTGCAATTCCCCCCAGTACCAACATTTAACTCTTTGGGTTTGGGAAAGAGAATGTGGGTCATTCAGTCCAGGTAAGGTGAATATAATGGGGAAAGAGGGAATTATGGTAATGGATATGATGTTGAAATCTGAACTGAGAGAGGAGGTGTACTGATCTGCTTGGGCTACTTTGACACCATGCCAAAGACTTAACTAACAGAAATATAGATACATATTTTTATTATTTAGGAGGCTATAAATCTAAGGTGTTGGCAGGATTGGTTTTGGTTTCTTCTGAAATACCTCTCCTTGACTTATCGGTGGCTAGTCATCTTTTTCCTATGGAAACTCTGTCCCAATTTTCTCTACTTATAAGGCCCCCAGTCGTGGTTGATAAACATCCACCTTCATGAGATCAGTTTATCTTTAATGCCTCTATAAAGACCCCATTGCCAAATAGTCTGATTTGGAGGTTCTAGGAGTTTGGACTTCAGCTCAGGAATTAGGGGTTAATACAGTTCAACCTGAACAGGAAGGAAGTGAAATACAGAGAGAGGGTAGAGATAGGGAGGTAGGTATGGGCTTTGGGCATGTAAATGGATTTTGGTGTCAGTGAGTGAGACATTCTGCAGTGGGAAATGACAGAGACAGATTTTGTTAGTTTTGGTGTTTGGTTTCAGAGCCATACCTTGGTGTGCGCAGAACTTGCTCCTGGCTCTGTGCTCAGGGATAACTCCTGGCAGTGCTTGGGAGACCATATGTGGTGCTGGGTTTTGAAACCCGATTGGTCATATGCAAGCCTCATCTGCTGTACTATCTCTCCGGCCCCTCAGCAACAGAGGTGTAAACCAGAAAGTCAAGAGTGTGGTTTGGTTCAGGCTGCTCGACACTGTAACACAGAGGGAGTGGGCCTATCCTGGCTGCGATAAGACTACCTATGATGTGGGCATGGTGCTGAGGCTGGACAGACAGTAGGGAGGTGGAGGGCCTGAGAGAGGAGGGGAGTAGCTGGGTCATCCTCCTGAATATTCAAGTGACTGGAATAATGATGCAAGCAGTGACGGGAGAGAGAAAGAGAGCCAGAATCTCACCTCTTCAAGATGGTCCATTGTAAGAAGCTCCGTGGAACATAGCAATGAGGAAAATGTTCCCATAGGGCATGAGGGGCTTAACAGTCACAATAAAAAAACAGTAGGAATAAAAATCACTTAGATGTAGGAATTAGAAGGAAGGAGCCACCTACCTGACTCCCAGTAAGAAAATAAAGCAAGTCTGTTCAAAGACACAAGGAAGTGGGACCCAGGGGTGGGGTGGGGTGCCACTGTCCCACTGAGGGAGGTGGTGGAAACACTTCTGGAAGAGATTAATGGTGTAAGAGAAGGCAACTCTCATTAGATGCTGCAAGGATTCGGGAAGGAAGGAAGGAAAAGGTAAAGACAGTCCACACAGGGACACTGGAGTGTCAAGGCATCAGAGTGCGAGTGAGAGGCCCAGGGACAATGGTAGTTTCCCTAAAGTTGCTCCAAGTCCTTTTTTCTGGGAAGTCGCTCCCTCTATACTTGGTCTGACTGAGGTTGCAGTGAGGAACTATTTTTTCTGACATAGAGAAACATCCCATTTAACACTCCATAATGGGATCAGTTCTTAAGAGCATCTCAGGAAAACACCAGGTCTCCAACTTCCTATGGCCTGGATAGAGAAGGATGCCCTTGGTCCCGAGTCCAAGAAGGCCTGTCCAGCTGATGGTCCTGGCCAAATTCAGATCCTCTTGTTCAGCTTGAACTCAGACAAAATCTGCCCTAAAAAGGATAAGTCTCGTCCGTGGTGAGCACCCAGTCTCATCCTCTGGCATGGCATTGAA